GAACTAAAAGAGAAGGCACAGGTCTAGGGGTGTAGCTCAGTGGTAGAGCATGTGCTTAGCATGACTGAGGCCCAGGTTCTGTCTCCAGCAACATAAAAATAGATAAATGAAACCAAAAGGAGTCACTGCTAGGAAACCCTACTGGTTTCTACAGCATAAGGTTGTTGTCTGAGGCCAGCCTTTGGGCATCTGAGTGCTTTTGTTTTCCTGGGTATGTCAGCTTCTCTCTGCTCTCTTTGGATTCCTCTGGATCCCACCTGGGAACCAGCCAGATGTAGGTAGAGTCAGCTGGGCCACGTAATACAGGACAAAGGGACAAAAGAACGTGATGTTAGGCCTTCTTTTCAGTTCCTGATGTCTCTCCTGTCTGCTGGTCTGTTCTGGGAGCCCTGGGGGCCAAACTAGAAAGTGGCACCAGCCACAGTCTGGCTAGGAGTGAGAGGCAGCGTTCTGGAAGAGGAGCCAGCTCCGTGGGTACCCATGCACTGCTGGACATGGACCTTTACTGTGAGACTGTGGACAAGCCTAAGTTTTCTCTCTAGGCATCCACGGTTTTTTTTCTTTCTTTTGAGACAGGGTCTTGCTATGCAATTCAGGCTGGCCTTGAATGCACTTTGTAGCTCAGGCTGGCCTTGAACTTGCAGTGATCTTCCTGCCTCAACCTCCTGAGGGCTGGGGTTACAGGTGCACCACCACGCCCTGCTGGGTTTCCATGTTTTAATGAGTGGACAGTCCCTGCAGGTTATGGGGATGAGAAAAAGTCCATCTAGCTTGTACTCCCTTCCAAGAACTTTGTCTTACTGTGCTGGGGACTGAACCCAGTCCTTTCACACTGAGCTATGTCCCTAGTCCCTTTTTTATTCTTTATTTCAAGACATGGTCTTGCTAAGTTGTTAAGTTGCCCATGCTGGGCTCAAATTTGCAGTTTCCCTGCCTCTGCCTCCCAGGGTGCTGAGATTACAGATGTGCACCACCACACTTGGCTCCCTTCCAAGAACTTTAAAGCAAACTGAGTAGCTTAAGAATGGTAGAATAAAGCCACTATTTGGGGGCTGGGCATATAGCTTAATGGTAGAGTATATGCTTCAATAGGAGTGAGGCCGTGTGTGTGTGTGTGTGTGTGTGTGTGTGTGTTATTGTATGTGTGCACCTTTATAGTCACTTCTAATACTGTAGTCTTAGACAAGCTAAAGGCCACAGTTATATAAACTCTCCTGGGATTCTTCCTGCCAAGTCTCACTCTCGAATGCATACACACACACACACACACACACACACACACACACACGTGCGTGTGCGTGCGTGCGTGCCCACTCCTAGCTGTGATGATCATAGGACTACCTGTTGCAGCCCACCAGGGAGGAGGGACACTTCCCTGCCACTGACCACGGTAGCAGGTGGGCACTACCTCTTCTGGCTTTGTCAACCACATCTTCTCAATTGTAGGTCATGATTCTTCCAGGCACCAAGAAAGCATCCCTGGACATCTGGCACAAGGGGAGCAGCCGGGGCATGACCTCAGGAGACTCAGAGGCTCATGTTCATCTCCCACTTCTAAGAGCACAGAGTAAAGGTCTTGGGGGCTGAGGGCCCGGGAAGTGCTTGCTCTGGGCACTGTAGGCCAGAGTTGTATGACCTCTATGGACCGGGAGTGTTCGTTTCCCTTGGCCTGATCATTAGGGCGACTGCCCAGAGAAGCAGGCCTCTTGCCTCCCACCCGCTACTGCCATCAGAAATGGTGTGAGAGTGTAAATGGGTACATGCCAGCAGAGTGCAATTGGTAAGATTTTCCAGATTTGAAAATGTGTATACCTTACACATAGCAGTTCTATGAGTATTTACCCTACAAATATACCTACACACATGGGAAATTAAGTGGTCTAGTCACTCATTGTAGAATCGTCTATTAATAAAGACAGGACATGGTGGCACATACCTGTAATCCTAGCACTCTAGGGGGCTGAGGCAGGAGGAGCACAAGTTCAATCTTAGCCCAGGCGCTTTAGTGACTTAGGGAGTTTCTGTCTCAAAAAAAAAAGGAAATAAGAAAAGGGCAGGGGGATATAGCTTAGACTGAAGGCCCTGGGTTCAGTTCTCAGAAGTAAAGCAAAGGAAGGGAGGAGGAAAGGAGAGATCTAGATGTCCATCACTAGACAATTAGTTTCATGCATTATGATAAGTCCATAAGATGGAATATTTAGATAGGAAACTTTCATGTATTGATCTGGAAGGATAACAGGAATGCAGTTAGATGTCAGTAAGCAGGACAGATATATTTTATTAGTACGTGATAGAAAAGCAAGGACATAATATATATTCATATTGGTCTATATATATATAAAATATTACTGGAGAGATAAAGATAAGATTCTATTGGTACTTACATGTTAGGGAGATGAAAATTGATGAAGGCAACTTTCTGTTGTATGTATTTTGTATATATATGTGTGTGTATATTGGACCCCAAGGCCTTTGCTTTACACTGAGCTATTTCCTCAGCATACTATATATATATATACACACACACATATATATATGTATATAGATACACACACACACACACACACACACATTTTTGTTTGTTTAGAGACAGGGTCTCACTAAGTTGTCTGGGCTGGCCTTGAACTCACTATATAGCCCGGGCTGGCATTGAACTTTAGCAATCCTCCTGTCTCAGCCTCTTGAGTGTTGAGATTACAGGTGTTTGCCATCATGCCTGGCTTATTTAGTATTTTTTAAATTTTGACACAGTATTTTGGGGCAAGGGATATAGCTCAGTGGCATAAGCGCCTGCCTGAAACAGTGTTTTGCTAAGTTGCCCAGGCTGGGCTTAAACTTGTGATCCTTCTGACTCAGCCTCCCAAGAGTGCTGGGATTACAGGTGCACCTCACCGTTCCTGTAGATTCTGTGTATCCTGTTAGTTAAATGATGCCAATGTATTATCTATTTGAAAAATTAAAAGCAGAAAAGTCACGAGAAAGGGAGAATAATGCCACAGATCAGAGAGGTAGAAGAAGGAGCCTCTCACCCTGTCCACTGCCTCAGCAGGGACAACCAGCCCAGAAAACAGCAGGAAGGGCTGGAGCGGGCCGGAGACCTTGGTCAGCAGGGCCTGGCTTTCCTTTTTTTGCAGCATCCTTGCTCAGTGGCCTACTTGCTCTCCCACCTCAGCATCCTCCAGCCATTTGGGAAATCTTGCCTTTTTTGAAAACATAAACATTTTACAGAGTAAGGAGGTCACCCCCTGAAGCAACGATGTCCTTTGAGGCTGCTTGACTTCTTGGGTTTCTTTTCAATTACCCCAACAACTCTGACATTTTGGAATCGTATGTGTTTGTATCAGAGATTACTCTTGGAGACACTTATGACACCCCTGTGAGCCCTCTGGGGTGTTGCAAAACCTGACTTGGGAGTGAGGAGCGAGGGCCTGGATGATGGCTGATGGAGAGGTCACAGCCACACCCCTCTGGCATGTGGGATGGGGAGGGGTGGTTCCTGGCCGCTCCTCCTACTACTCCAGGGTTCCCATGGCTCCAGAGGCCTTCTTGGGTGCCTCATGGGCATGGCAACCCCGAGCAGGGTGAGCTGCGGGGTCCCTGGGAGTCCAGCTGGTTCTTTTTCCTCAGGGATAATTTTAGGTTCTCTCTTCCCCTCCAACCTTTCTAACTCCCAACCCCTGGCTCAGCCTCCCAGAGGGATTGCTCAGCCCGGCGACTACACAGTGCTCTTTTGAAATATAGAACATGCTAGGGCATAGTCCTGGAGGCATTTTCCATGATTTTTTTTTCCTCTTTTGTCCCATTGTTTCAGGGGAGGAAGCAGACAGCTCAAGGGTCAGACCCTGATAGGTCCTCTTAAAGTTATCATATCTTCCTGCGCCCCCAACTTGAACCCAGAGGCTCATGCTCCTAATGTGACAGCAACTGGCTTAGAGACTGAAGGCTGGCCTGGAGAACCAAGCCTTGTAAATTCAGGAGGGGGCTCGGCTTCTTCAGGGGCAGACACCTCTGCTCAGACCTTTTGAGAGATTTCAGAGGCATTCAGATGTTCCTCTGAACACATGTGAATTCCTTAACTCAGTGTGCCTGATTTCCAGAAGCTCAATGAATAAAATCTTCCAGGAGTGGCACAGACACCCTACCATAGCAACATGGTGGTGGAAAACTGTGGCTAGCTGAGGAGATCTGAGGATGCCGGATGTGCCTCAATTTTAGATCAGTCAGTTTCCCCCCAGTTCTGGGGATCAGCCTCCAAACACGGCACCCCCCTGTCATGCTGCCTGGCCCTGGCCCACCCCAGGGCTGGGGATGGAACCCAGGGCCTTGGCCTGCTAAGCACGTGCTCTACCACTCTGCTACACCCAGCCTCATTCAGCTACTTTTAAAAAACCCCTGTGACAGAAGGATACTAAGAGAGGAGGCCTATCAGAGAAGGTCTAAGTGGAAAGGGACAAGCAAAGAGGGGATGATAGAAGAATCAAACTCTTTTCCTCCCAACCTCACAAACTGAACCCCAACGGAAATGGGCAAACAGTGAAAAGGACCCAGTTTCCTCAGTGTCTGTAAAAGACCCGAGAAAACACTCTAGGGCAGGGAAGGGGGAGGGGCAGTCTATCACCTGCCCGCTGGGAGGAGGGGAAGATGCTGGCTGCTGGCTCTTCCTCTGAAAACCCTGTGGAGTGTGGAGGATGAGGGGCTCTTGTGGGCATTTTGCTGGTCTTAGGAGGGTCCCCTTTTCCTCCACAGGGTAGGGCTTTTCTCCGTTCCTCCCCGGCTGCGGCTGGGCCTTCCAGGGAAACCGATGTGAGAGTGCTGTGCTGACTCTGCAGGGCCGGCTGCCTGGTGGACAGCGGTCCCCGCCCTCCCGTTGCTCCAGCGCCCTCTGTGTCCGGACTATTGGCTGCTGCCCCTTTAAGCCCCAGCTCCTCGCTCCTCCCGCAGAGCTGTGGCATCAGGGGGTGGGGGCGAGGGGTGGGAAGGGGAAGGGGAAGGCTGAGCGCTGTGTCCCATCAACTAGGGAAGATGGTGGCCCAGGCCAGGGGAGTCGCTCCCAAGTCCAGCTGTCCCCTCCCCTGAGTCTGGGGCCCTGGGAGACCCCTCCCCTCCCCGCGCGGCACGGGGATGGCTATGTGGCCTCACGGGAACCACTCTCTGGGCTCTTGGCCAGATGCCCCCACCCTGGCACCCAATCCGAGTGGACTACCAGGGGTGCCGTGGGCAGCAGCGTTGGCCGGGGCGCTGCTGGCCCTGGCCACGGTGGGAGGCAACCTGCTGGTGACCGTGGCCATCGCCCTGACGCCGAGACTCCAGACCATCACCAACGTGTTTGTGACTTCGCTGGCCACAGCCGACTTGGTGGTGGGACTTCTGGTGGTGCCGCCGGGGGCTACCCTGGCGCTGACTGGCCACTGGCCTTTGGGCGCGACCGGCTGTGAGCTGTGGACGTCGGTGGACGTGCTCTGCGTGACTGCCAGCATCGATACCTTGTGCGTCCTGGCAGTGGACCGCTACCTGGCCGTGACCAGCCCGCTGCGGTACCGCGCCATGGTCACCAAGCGCCGTGCGCGGGCGGCCGTGGTGTTGGTGTGGGCGGTGGCGGCTGCGGTGTCCTTCGCGCCCATCATGAGCCAGTGGTGGCGCGTGGGCGCCGACGCCGAGGCGCAGCTCTGCCACTCCAACCCGCGCTGCTGCTCCTTCGCCTCCAACGTGCCCTATGCGCTGCTCTCCTCCTCCGTGTCCTTCTACCTGCCGCTCCTGGTGATGCTCTTCGTGTACGCCCGCGTCTTCGTTGCGGCCAGGCGCCAACTGCGCTTGCTGCGCCGCGAGCTGGGTCGCTTCCCGCCCCGGGGAAACCCGCCTCCCCCGTCTCGCTCCCCGTCCCCCGCATGGGCGTCCGAGACGCAGGCTGCGCCCGAGGCCGGTCCCCCCTGCGGTCCGCGATCCCCGCGCCTCCTGCCCCTCCGGGAGCACCGGGCGCTGCGCACCCTGGGGCTCATCGTGGGCACCTTCACCCTCTGCTGGCTGCCCTTCTTCCTGGCGAACGTGCTGCGCGCCCTTGGGGGGCCCTCGCTCGTTCCCAACTCGGTTCTCCTCCCCCTCAACTGGCTGGGCTACGTCAACTCCGCCTTCAACCCGCTCATCTACTGCCGCAGCCCCGACTTCCGCAGCGCCTTCCGCCGGCTTCTGTGCCACTGCCCAGGCTGCCGACCCCAGGCGCCCTGCGCCGCCGCCTCCGGAGGCCGGCCAGCCCCGCGGGGCGCACCCGGAGGTGATGGCAGGCGCTGGCGGCTCGGGCCAGGAGAGCAGTCGGAGGCTCCAGCTTTGCCTTTGGGTTTGGCAGAGGGTGGGAGCTGGAGAGGTTTGGCGCCTGGAGAGAGGAGAGAGCACACATTTCAGAACCAAAATGCGGCTGGGCCCTGTCCTCTTCTTGACCTGATCACCAGGGTTGACGCGAAGGAGGACAGGTGGGGTGTTCTTCATTCGGGCCTCTTACACGCCACCCCACCCCGAGTTTTCTAGTTCAGTGGTTCAGCCGCCCCGTCCTCTGGTCATCGATACACTTGTCTCGGACTCTCACAGGAGGGTGTGGCTCTCCCAACCCCTGAATTGGTTCTGATTTCTCTCAAAGGTAGGATGGCTATGAAAGTGAAGATGACTCCAGATGCAAACAGCGGCGGTGGAGGAACTGTGCGTGGGAATTGTGCGTCCTCCTTCGGAGGCCGAGTGGGTGTTTGCGGTGGGATTTTTGCACCTGGCTGGTCCCCATGATTTTGTGTAGTTAAATATAATATGCTTCCCAGGGCCCCCTGAGGGCTCCTCCTTCTCTCCAGTGCCCTTGTTCCCACCCTAAGATATGTTATCTCCACCTTCCAGGGCTTCCAGGGAGCTCTTTAGGCTTGAAGGACAATAAACAGCTCCGTGGATGTCTCCTTTGGAAGCCTCTGGCCTCTGTTCCCAGTGAGCCCTCGCGTGCTCCAGTTTTGGAACTCTGTTCTCTGCAACCTACTGACTATGCTGTGAAGTGGGGAGGGGAGGGAGACCCTGAACTAAGTGCTCAGTCACTGTCCTGAGAAGGTTCCTGAGCTTCACCCCTGAACACACTACTACCTCAGCAGCTGGGCTGCTGGGCCAGCTGTGCCCAGCCATCCTGGGAGCAGCCCCGTGGCCTCGCTCACATGTGTGCTGAGAGCACAGGGTAAGGAGGGCACCCCAAGCTCCAACCTGACTGCAGTGAACCCCTCAGTGTCTGCAGGCCCTGTGGCCCAGGCTGATGGCAGGAGGCTTGAAAAGGCCGAGGTTCAGGGATCCGTCCCTGTGTCCCTCCCCGTGGCTCTCTGTGCCCCAGTGCTTGTCACATTAGACACCGAACAGCTCTGATCTACCTCACAGCAGTGTCAGAAGGACTTCAGAGTGTGGGGGGACTGCAGGCTTCACAGGAAGGTGAACCATTGGAATGGATCCCTTTTTTCCATTAAAATCAAATTAATAAACATTACCGAATGCAGTTTATCCTTTACCCTCTTTTTTCTCCATTTGTTTTCTTTTCATAATCCACTTGCTCTCCTCCCTTTGACTCAGAGCTGGCTTTAGACAGAGGCAGTAAATTAGGACTTGTCTGGCCCCTTTCTTCCTAATCTTCATCAAACAAAAAATGAAAAGTTGTTTGGGCGAAAAACAAAAAATGAAAAGTCGAAGGGAGTGAGCTGGAGCCTTGGATTCTCCTACCCCATCCCTACCCTTCCTGAAACTCCTGAATCTAGCTCCAAGTGAGGAGCAAAGTCATGCTCACTCTAGGTCATCCGCAATCCACTGGCTATGTCCAGAGCCAGGGTGTGGAGCACTTGTTATTGGCCACATGGCAGAGCCTTGGTGGGATCGTTGCCAGCAGGGGCTGTATGGTTCTGTACTTTCTGTGTGTTTGTATTTGGAAGCACAGGGCATTGTTTGAGGTGGGCAAAGGTCTCGGGATTGATCTTTCTCTTTTTATTTTCCCATTGTCTTTCTGGGATGCAGAAATCTGTATTTTCCTCTTGAAGCAGAACTGGAGTCATAACTGAGCCTGTTGAAACTTTTTTTGTTCCTCTTTTCAATGTTTACACCCATTATGGGGCACATTTCCTATGGAAAGAAGAGTTCTCTGGAAATCCCTGAATCATTTATGGGTTCTTATTTAAATTCCATGAACAAGGCAATGGTCTCATCCTATCCACAGCCTACCCAATAAATCAGCAAATGTTTATTTACTGTGCTTGTGAGAAATGCACAGGCTGGGTTCAGGGGCCTGAGAGCAATAAAACCTTGGTTGGATCTCAGGAGCTCAGTGCATTTCCACATATGGGTGTTCCCTGTGCATTGGAGTGGGTCTGCGCTGCTCCCTTTTCCCTTTGAGCCCAGGTTTTATTTCTCAGGATGTTTGCATACCAAAGATGACTTTCCCCTTTCCACTCCAGACCAGTGTGAGATCTCTGAGATGTGGAAGGTTTCTTGGCAACTTTTGAACTATGACACTTAGGGGAAAAGGAAGTCTTGCTTGAGTCCAGGAATAAATAAGAAGGCCTCTTCTCCCTGTCTCTGGATATTTTCCCAGCATCACTGAGGAAAGTTGTCCAGCCTGTCCTGGGTAGGGGAGAAGAATGACTTTGGAGGAGGAGCCTCTGGTTTATAGAACTCTCCTTGAATAGCATCCGCTAACTCACACAGCTTGGGTCTCGCTTGATGTGGACCTGTGCCAACTGTAGGCTCCTCCGCAGTGTTTAGACTTCTATGAGGCTGTGCATGCCACCTGCAGATCGTCACCGGCGCATCTGACAGCTGGAAAGGCAGCCTCTCTGGTTCTTTCTCCAGCAACTTGTAGCCAGGTGTCAAACTGAGGGAGATTTACATCCTTGGATGGGGACCAGGCTGCCTGCACTAGCACGAAGCCCAGGCATTGAACCATGGAAGACAAACAACTGTGCTCTGAATCTAGAGCTGTGAAGGCTTACGACCAAGGACATAGCAGACAGGAAAAGAAGATTGAGTTGGAGAAAGAATGAGGAATGAGTGGGTTTTGCAAAGGTCACCGACTGGGCACACTGCAAAGGAGCACGCAGAATTAGGGCAAGGGAGAGCCTGGCAGCACCCTCGCAGGGCACTCGGGGCAGGTTCTAGGGGGGGGGTGCTATGCAAGCGGCTGCCTTCCCGAGCAATCACTGGGCTGTAATTCCACATCGCCTCCATTCCTCAGCTGTCATGGCGCAGAAACAGCTTCTCTCCACAGAGACTAGAGCTTTCTCTCCTCTCCTGCCTGTAGGAGGTTCCTGGGAGGCTCTTCTAAGGTTGGATGAAGTCCTGGGCTGCGATTCTCCATGGCAGATTGGACCCCACCCCACGCAAAAGTGGCATTGCACCACCCCTCCTCCCATGGCAGTTGTGAGGCACAACGGCACACTGGCCAGGCTGCTCTCTTAGAGGCAAAGCACAGTCCTCCCAAAGGGCCCCCCCATCAGAACGGCAAGAGGCCATAGAAATATGAGATGTGATATAAAAATAGTGTGTGTTTAAAGGAAAAAATGATGAGAGTAAAAAGCACACTGCCATTAATCTCCCTCAAAAATACCCCCCCAGCTTTGAACACACTTATCCCATCATGCTTGCCACTTTCTGAAGCAGTTCTGGATGTCCTCTTTTGTGAGTGTCTTCAGGTGCACTCTTACGGCTGTTTGCATGTCTTGAATTAGCTCAAAACATTTACCTTTCATGGTGATCTTGACGTGCAAGAAGAGCTAGAGGTTGTAGGATGCTGGATCCTTAGTGCAGATACAAACCTGGCTTTCTGGTGGCTGGCACTTGGCAGTAGCATTTATGCTATTTCTGATCACACTTCATAAAGATAGTCAGGAGCCTGGTGTGGTGGCATATGCCTGCAATCATGGCCAGAGGATGGGGCAGGAGGATCACTTCAGGTTCAAGTCCAGCATTAGGTAGTGGCTTCAAGGTCCTTCTGAACTACATAGTGAGACCCTGTCTCCAAAAACCAAAATAGTGCTCTCTCTCTCTCTGTCTCTCAACTGCTTTTGCTGTCTTCCACCCCCATGAGCTTTTGCCCCTCTGCCATGTGTCACCCTGCCTTGGAGCCAGCCGATTACAGACTGAAACCTCTACAAACTGTGAGCTAAATAAACCTTTCCTTCTTAAAAATAGAAAACCAAAATAAGTAACTAAATAAAGACGCTCAGGAAAGGCTGAAATATGGGACACAGGCAAACTGGAGTCTGGCATGGAATAGCCAGAGGGGGACTTCTAAGGGCAGCACTATGAAGCCGAGGGAATCTGTCTGAGGTGGGAAATCTAGATGAAAGACCAGGCAGGGTGTGCCTGCTGTGACCCAAAAACAGTGGGCCAAATAAGCAGGAACCAAACCAGGAGACCCAGACTCATCCTGACCCCAAGTCAGACCCCTGCCCACCAGTTTACAGCAGAGGAGACTGGTCAGCTTCGAAGCCACGGCTTGTACACATTCTCACATGGTCTTCAAAACCAGACCTCAGCAGGACCGTCATCCCTTTCGGGTCTGGGTTGGGACAGCTGGGTCATGACTGAGGCAGTATTTAGTGGGGGAGATCAAAGGTATGTAGATGGTATAGAGCAGATGTCAAGACCGTAAGTTCATTTTAGTCGGGGTTTGTGAGCCTAGGTCCCAAGGGATCAGGATAGAGAGGTGGTGTATTGCACTAGGCATGTTGAAGCAGATTACTCAAACTGGGTGACTTAAAACAATCGACATTTGTCCTCTTCCAGCTACGAAGACTACAAGCCCAAAATCAGAGTGCTGGCAGGGCCACGTTGTCCCCAAGAGCTACTGGTGCTGGAGCTGTCTGCCTGCAGATGCAGGGCTCCAGCTTCTGCCTCTGCTTCACATAGTCTTCTCTCCTTGTCTGTTGGTGTCTAGATTTCTCTTTTCTTCAAAGGACTTCAGTTTTTGGGTTAGGGCCCAGCCGGACTTGGTGTGACCTCAATTGACAGCATCAGCAAAGGCCCTGTTTCCAAATATGGGCACAATGACAAGTTTCAGAATGAAGCTCAGTGCATCTTTTGGAGACACAGCTCAAGCATCACCAGAGGTGTGAAGGGGAAGGGGCAGCATTCCTTATTCCTGCTGCCTCCAAAGATTCCGTGTTTTGTCACCGGCCAGAAGGGTGGGGGGGGTGCCCTCCATTCCTGGATTTCCATTTCTGGGCCTTTTCTCCCACCTCAGGGGCTCAGATTTGAGAGGCCACTGGTACTGGGCATGGTGGTGCACACCCGTAATCCCAGCACTTGGGAGGCTGAGGCAGGAGGATCATTGTGAGTTCAAGGTCAGC